AAACATTTGTGAGTGCTGTCACTTTTACAGCAGAAAATGAAAAGGTGGCAGCCGTTTATAGTGCGTCGAGTGGCTTTGTAATTTGGTTTGAGCCGATAATTCGGTGATATCGATCAACGATCTACAACCGGCTGGCTATTATTTGACTCAGTATTATAATGGTGAGTTGTTTACGTTATACTTCAACGGTTGGTTCAATATGTTAACGCAGAAACGAACAGCTTTGAATATTGTAAACCGTATTTCTCAAATTCAGCAGTCGAGTCCCGCGCAGGAGTTTGTAAGCATTGTGCGCGCGGTGCTCTAAATTGCTTGATCTTTTGTTTGTTATTTACAATTCCGGACTCGTTAAATTGCGCTTTTTATGTGACTTTTAGAGCTAAGATTTGCATATTTTTTTCCACTGTTCAATCAAACCATTCATTTGAACAAGGTGGGGTAACGACTGTCCATAAGTTTAGACGAAGCTTCATTTTCGTCGAATCGACGGAGAGCGCGCGAGCGGGAAAGCCTTCATCCATTGAAGATTATGCAGTTCTTAAGAATTGCTGGTGATGATGTGCCAAAAACCAAGAAAAAGCGGGCTCCAAAGGTACAGAAAGTACACCAGTTTTGTTTGTGTTTTGTGTGTGGCTTCCTCATAAGTACTACTGTGCTGAAGTCCATATTAGCAGGAAGATTATTTGTTTAAAATTGCTCTGAAAGACAAAAAGTGTCGATTGTCTTTGCCATGGCAAGTTTGTTGAAGCGTTGAGTTACTTGGAAGTTTTATTCGCATTTTGAGGCCAATCACAGCATAATTCGGCGGTATGATCACTCTTTAGTGAGGCAATATGGAAGGCAGATCAATCTCTTGTTCAAGCGTAATATGTTATTGGAATATTGCCAACATTGTACATTGCTGAAATCGAAGCTGACTCGCTCCTTAGTAACAACTTTCATTCTGCATGCATCGTTGATCGTGAAAACGAATTCGCTCTAATTTTTTCTTTTTTTTTTTGTCTCTTTTTAATTTCTGATCTAAATTAAGCATCGAGGAGCTTTTTACACCTGCCTTCTTCAGTAGTTTTATAATTAACATTTGGGTGAATTATGTAAAAAGCAATTCCCTTTTAATTCACAGTATTGTGTCAGACAACAATTATTTGTTAAATATTTCTTTTCACAAACCCAGCCACAAGGGGTATACGTTTCTAATTGGGAGAAGCGATTAAAAACAGTTTAACTCTGGAATATCCTAAACATATATAGCCTGCAGTTGTGGTGAGATATCTACCAAGTCATTTCATCACAACTTTTATAAATTCTTTTCTAACATTTTGGCCTATAATTTGACTACCTTGGGTAGGTTGCTATGCGAACCTAACCAAACCAAGCTGTTATTTGACATTTAAAAAATACGTGATCGCTTTGTTTTTTTGTCGGTGGATAAGAACACTTGTTTTTTGCAAACACCAAGGGTAGTGTGAGAACTTGGCATGTGGTTCTGAATCAGTGATCTGTTTAAAACAAATATTATAAACTGCGACAAAGTTGGTGAACTGAGTCGCAACAGAGTTTTATCATAGGAGGAAGCGCATGTGCAGCATGTGAAATGCTCACATAAATTAAGCTCTTTCACACAACAATAAGTCTCCCTAGAACACCTTAAGCCGCAGACCCAAAGATATATATACTAAAAGCCGTAGATTTGTAAGTTCTTCAGCAGTAATTCATAATATCTAAGTTGAACTCTCAGTAATGTTGCAAGATTTAGCTGGAAGTACATCTTCCTAATGAAAACTTTTCATTCCTTAAAAAATGTCAAAAATATAACTTTTATTTAAATTTCAAATAATTTTCTTTGTGGTGTTAATGGTTTCCAAGACATACATTTGGTATCGTTAATTTGCATTGCAAAGCTAAGTCTCAGTGGTTTTTCGTGTTTAAAAATAGCAGGCAAGTGTGAATGGATCTGTAAATTTTATATATGGTTACCAAAAGTATCGTATGGCTTTTTTTAAGCAAACATTAACCAGAAAATGTTAAAATATTAACACATTAAATTTGTTTCTGTCCAAAATGAGACAGTTACAAGCATCATGTAAATGTTGTTAGCTTGTATATCGATGAAGAGTCTCTGGCGTGAAATAATTACTATGGAACTAGATTTTTGAAATACAATATTAAAATGAAGATACAGTTGAATCCCACTATTTCAAACTCTCTAGGGAAACAAAAAATAGTTCAAAATAGTGGATAGTAGATGACTGGAAAGCAATTCCAAGGGAAATGGTTTTGAGTTTGAAATAACGGGGAATTCGAAATAACCAAGTTCGAATTAGCAGGCTCCAGCTGTACTTGGCGAAAGGGTGATCATTTTGTCAACCATATTGCATTGCCAGGGTTGTCACAAAGTTTTAAAGTGGGTGGGTGGGTGGACAGCTAAAATCATTGCTTGAGAGGGTGGCAAATTTGCCATCATGCTAATTATCAGACATTGCTCAGCAGGGTAGCTAGCCAAAATTCTGAAGTAGATTGTGGCTTTTGGTGACAGTCAGTCTACTTTTACACAATATTACATAGCACACACTAGATGAGTTGTGCTATGGAAATGTGATATAATGAAGGGCCAAGGGACTGGCAAAATATACAGTCNTTGGCTCTGAATATTACTTGGAAGTGAAGATAATTACAAAGTATTTTAAGTGAAAATTCAACCATGGTCACATAACTAGTAAGTCTGCGTGAATGAAAGTCCATTAAAATCTCATTTTGATACATATTTTTGAAGCCACATATTTTCTTTATTTCCCAGTTGGTTGTACTATTGCACTCAGTTTACTAATGGCACTGCCGATAGCTATGGTTATTATGGGTGAGTAGCAAGTCTTTTAGTTAATACTCGATGTTGTGGTGAGCTCTCTACATTCAAGTGCCTGGTGGTTACTTTCAAGTCTGGGATGTCATTCAGGACATTATTGTGCAAAATATTGACGTGATTTCACATATAACAGGCATCGTCATCATCATCATCGTCTGCCTGCCTGATTTGCCAGCCTGCCTCCAAGACATTTTTGATTTTGTTACTCAGTCTGTAAAATTGCTTTTAGCTTCATGAAGCCTCTTTTATCGATGACATACAAGAAGATTGATTTGAATGAATCTCATTTTGACTTATTTCTGGAGAGAAACAAAGTACCAGGCTATTTTGCGAGTCTGTGAACTGAAGCCAGTACCAACCAAACTTATTTGTGTCCTGGGATGTGTTAACACATTATCAAGGTTCGCAAAGTAGTCTGCCACAGTTTTTAATGCAGTAAGACCAATTTTCTCACCCTTGTTCAATTTACAACTTACTTCTTAAAACACTTGAAGAGAAGTTTTTTTTGATAAGAATTGATGAGTGTTTTTATGATTTGTTTTCTTTCACAGGTGCCAAGTACAAGGATGACTGTCCCGTTGAGCCATTCATTCCTATTTACCTCATCGTTGGAGGATCTTTTGGAATGTTAAAAACTATTATAGTTCTTTGTCAACGAGCTAGAACTCACGAAGATGACATTGACATGGACGAAGACCAATCAATGTCCACAAAATTTATAGATGGTGTTTTGAATCTGTTCTTGTTCACGTGGTTTATTGCTGGGAACATCTGGGTATACAGCAAGTACAGACCAAATCCATCTCCTCCACCATCAGATCCACTGAACTATTGCAATCCAACACTCTATTTGTTTGCGTTTTGGGTGATTACAGCAAGTTACATCCTCATGGGATCAATATGTTTCTGTATATGTTGTCTTGGAGTGTGTGCAAGTTGTACCGCTTTTTTTGTTACTGCCAAAGACTGAGGATTACAATGTGAAAGGTCTCTGTTATTTTGTGTTTGAACACTCGGTGTTATAATTTATTGTAAACCTTTTTAATATGTGATGGAGATACAAATTCTCTTTGTAGAGTCTTTGAATTTGATAACACATCGCAAGATCTTTTGGACAATCTGCTTCTCAGCATTGATTGTCGATTGTAAGACATAGGTCAGGTTTAGCAAGGCATATATTTTAGGAGTCAAAAACGGTGTAGTTTGACATAATTTTATTTTGAATTGGCAGAAGTGAATTTTGTAAAATCCCCAAATCAAAGAATTTTTTTTCGTGGTTGGCATTCCATCAGACCAGTCAAAATAATATTTCTAGAAATTGCCAAGAATAATGATCCACTGCAGGCTTTTAGCCAGATAGGTGTCCAGGCTTCCTGTGGACGACCACATTTTGAAGAAAATTGTTTTATTTTTCATATGTTGCCTTTAAAATTGTTTGTTTGAGCAGGCCTTATGTCACATTTTGGATGCCCACTTTTCAAATCCTGGCTAAAAGCCTGATCCACTGTTAGAACAACTAGCCAATAAATGGGCAGGTGCTTACGCCAATCAGCAACACATACAATATCTAAAAGAATTGTTAAGTCAACTGATGATCTCACAGGAAATAACTCGAGGAAACATCGCAATCTGGTAAAGAATTTCATGGCAAACCAAATAATTTTGATATCGTGTACATGTCAGTAAGATTACAGTGACTTTGGTATTTTCCGTGTTTGCCTGGGGAGGTTCATGTCAAATGGTCTTGCACGATCGCCATTATTGTGTCTCTTGTCTAAGTTCATTGGCAACTTTCATGCCAATTAAGACAAACCTTTTTCCTTAGGGGAGCAGTCCTCTTGAAATGCAGAGTTAAGACAGACAGTAGCAGGGGCGGATCTAGGGGGAGGGTGCAGGGGGTGTGCATCCCCCCTGAGATGAAGCCTTCTTCTTCGTATTAGCTTTTGAAATTTG